AAAATCGGGAAATTAATTCTGCAGCACCATCAAAGGTTGGAATACCAGCAAATCACTAAAAAATAATAAGTATCCAGGATATGACAATATTCACAAGGAATTCCTCAAAGCTATAATGCCGGATTTAGATGTAACATATGGCTACCACATTGCAGAGATGATTGAACTCAGAAGACGAGATGAATTTGGAAGCAATGTTGTAAGCTATTGATGGAGCCATTTTTGTCGGTAAGATAAAAGATGAACATCGCTGTGACCTGTCACGTCGAGACGAATTCATGAATTAACATATATTTGATGGAAGAAATAGTTTTCGAATAAATATCTGGTTCCGTTGATTTGGATCAAACTCTGATTTCATAGTATTTTCAAAATTAAAGAATTACCAATTCATTGGAGATTTTTATTAAATTAGCGATGCTTTCAATTACAGGGCTTTGAGATTGCTTCCCATTCCAAGTAAAATATTTATACCGATTATCCAGGCGAGTATTTTTAAAGCTGTTCAAATTCACAAAGTGAAGGCAATTTCTGCAAAATAGTGATAGTATTGTCAGACGGCTAATATCGTATCCAATAGGCACCATTTACCGGTTCAGAAATTTGGAATATGTTGGTAACGTATGTCTATTTTGTTTCAAGATTAACCTAATTTAATCGAATGTACTAACTTAGAGGCCAATTTAAAAGTAAGAGAAAACGTATTATTATCAGTTAGCGAATATGGGGTTGCATTATCCTTTTCAATTTGATTAGAAATTTTGGAGCTAAAATTAATCCTTATCTTTAATATACCATAGAATCGATACATGTTGGAGTTCATGTAAGAGCGTATAGCAAATATCGTGTTTCCTAGTGAAAGGTTCGAAACACACAAAAAAATTCTCATTTTTCTAACAGTTAACATGTTTGTAGTAGGGTGTTCAGTCCAGTCAACACCTCTATAGACGCATGGGTTCCTCAGGGATCGCCACTTTCCCCCAGTCTCTACAACATTTATGTGTCTCATATCTCAATGTTAGGTCTCTCGACTCTGGCGTTGTATGCTGACGATATGTGTATGCTATACTCGGATAAATGTGCACTCAACATCACCAACACACTTCAAGAGCATATAAACCACTTCCTGAAGTATTTCCAGAAATGGAAAATAATAATAATAATAATTAAAAAACTAAGGCTCTGTTTATTACGCGTACGTAGAGACAGAAACCATCGAGTTTCAAAAAACGCGAAGTATGTAGGGTGAATTTCAGGGATCACGTTTGAGTTGTTTAAAAATGTATTTCAGCCATGAATTAAAAACTGAATTTCTTTAGATACTATTTTAAGTATGAAAGTTAAGTATATAATACATATATCTGAATTTATAGGCAACTAGAAACGATTTTCATGACGGAAAACAAATAAAATCGAACGAAAGTTCTTAAAGAATATTGGGAACATAATTGCAGCTAATTAGAAGCAATTGAAATAATGCACAATAATTGAGCTCATTAATGGGGGCCTTATAAATACTACTGTAAGTCCCATATCTCTACTTTTACATTTCAAACAGGGTATACTGGCATGTATCGTTGTGTATCTCTTAATGAAATAAAATGTAATTTAGTTAGAGCGAGTTTAGGTGCGTAATTTTGTATATGGAATTCTATTATGTAATTCAGTCAATATTCGAGTACATACAGTCAGAAGTATTTATGAAAAATGGTTTCTTCCATATGTGGTTTGCATTATTCTTTTGACATCTGTGACATTCCCTATGCAAACTTGTTGTTGTTATTCCCGAACATGGTCCCATTGGGATATGTTTGATTTTTTCCGTGCTCTCTCTTTTGTCATACGTTTCCATATGACATTTCTGTTTATTCTCAGCTCCAATTCTGATTGGACGCGTTGCATAGTACATGCTTAATCATGCACACTTGTGGAAACAAATTTCACATTTCGCTTTTGGCCATTGGAAAACTCCACCCACACATATTTCTGTATATGCGTCGCAAATAAATCGATTTTGTATACATATGGATTTAGTTTGTACGACGTATGTATTAGATGAATGGAAGGAATTCGAACAGTTTTTTTCTTCTTTGAATCCTTTTTGGTATTGACTACTGATGATTGTAATTTTCTTAAAAATTTTTTGTTATATCAGTTTGTCTTGAAAAATTCTTTTGATTAACCTAATACACTTAAATAATTTTCGATCAATGAACAATGAAAATCAACCATTGTTAAGTAAAATTCTAATTTTGGGAAGTTTATTCTTCTGGCGAAATATTCTTCTCTATTAACAGTATGAGACGTTGTCAGAAATATATTCCTAATTAAAGTCGTGATATAAACAACACCATATATGTATTTCAATGCATTTAATTTATTTTTCATAAGTTAAAAGAGTTCATTTGCAATTTAGCCACGAGTTCTGCGGTTTTTCCTGACTTTGCGACCGCCTGTGGGCCGTTTAGATTTTCGGTTACCTCTACGACCACCACGGGTACGTCTACGTATTACACGTCTCTTAGCTCTGGACTCTATGTCATCATAATCGGAATTCTCATTGGGTAAGTCAGTTTCTTCGTCAATCGCATTGCCAGCCTGCGAGTTTTCAGGCAAATCCTTAGTTTTTTCCACATTTTGATCATCCTCGCTTGAGTCATTTGCAATTGTTCTGGTACGAGTCTGCTTCTGTAAGTGATCTGGACGTTCAATGTTGGTTCGAACGGAAGCAGCACCATGAGTACTTTGGCAAAAACCTAGAAGGGCAGTTATCCCAAGAATCAAAATAATTGTTTTAAACATTTTATTGAGATTACAGATGTAACGATGTTTACTATCTTAAGTGAAATTGTAACTTGATACTGTTTGGAAAAGTTTTGTGTCTTATATACTAAAATTTTTATAAATGCTTCATTATTTTAAAACAAAATATGATTAACGATGCACTTGAATCAATAAAAGAAATTCAAATGTTTACAATATCTTGCATATTTCAGATATTTGATCTTCAGCAAACATATTCGATGTTTGTGGACATATTTGTATTTAAATTATAGTTTCTAGGTAATTAGTTTGTTCAATCTATGGATAATATTTCTAAACACAGATCGAAGGCAGTAAACGCATTTTATAAGAATTTGAGAAGTTAAAAGTCTTTCTTAACTGTTTTCCAGTTTGGAGAGGATACATGAGTTCTATTGAAATATTACGCTGAAATTATTTGTAATAGCAGTTGCTTTATTAGTGAGCTTAGAGTTTTGGAGTGATGTGGATTGAATCCAATTGGCAACAAAGCTATACGCTTACGGTAAAATTATTTATGGCTTGTTATTGCATCTCACACGACTAGCAATCCTACTATGGCAATCACAATAACAATGATGGCTTATACTGTTTTCAAGACTAAAACGGCTTATACTGTTTTCAAGACTATAACGATTTGAAATCGTGGTGCTGTTAACAAATTACTGAGCAATAGTAGAAATAATAAACTTGGATATCGTTGTCGTATTACACTAACAAGAAGTAATCGTACGATCTCTAGATATAAAGTAAATGATGACCACCTAAAGGGCTAATAAATGGTTAACGTTTTAACTTGTTTAAAAATAAATTTAAATTGAAATTCTAAGATGTTTATCTTTTTATAATTGTGTTATAATCACATATATCAAAAAATTTATTTTATTTGGGTGATCGTTTTCAATTATTATAAAACAAAATATCTGTTTCCATTACTAATGTGATGATATAATGTTTTTTGCTTAAGAAAGTGCTAGTTGAGTCGGTGCACTTGAGCGCTTTTACTCCCTATTAACTGCGAGATTTCTTCATAACCCCTCTTTACGCGTTGACTGGATTATTGTGTATCAATTCATCAGACTAAGCAATAACTGACCCCAGATCTGCATACCTCCTCGAGGAGCCTGTAACCATTCCGAGATGCGATAGTGCGGTGTTAGTAAGCCTGTCACTTTTCGTAAATAGTTTCAGGGCTTTATCCTATTTTTCCAAAACAGAACTGATCATAACGATGATGAAAGTCTTATCCCAGTCTTCATATATGATATAAATAGTTAAAATTTAATCAAAAAGACTTTTGTTTAAAGCACAATTATATGTAACTAACAGATCTTTCGGATCAATTACAGAAAAGGTGCATGTTACTGAGTTGTTGCAGATCTAAATCGCGATTAATCACCTATTGGTTAATCGGGCACTTACGTATGAACAACCTCTTTAGAGAAGGATGAGAGAGAAAGAGGTTGACGTCTGCAAGTTATATAAATAAATATAAAGTGAAATATTTATTTATTTTCTCTGCTGATATCCTTGCGAACCAGACTAAAGATGGACAACCTAAGGCAATTAAAATATTTTGTGAAACCCCTGCAGATTCATTTTTGTTCTTAACGTTTTTAGTGCAGAATATTTTTTTAATTTTGAATAGTCGTCATTTGATCTTCAGTTTCCAAGTAGCTTCTTTATTTTAGAACTTTATTCTGATCCTATTATTTTTCATTCATAAATAATTATTTTTATTAATTATTTTTATTGTAAGAAGACAGATGTTTAATATACCACTCTTAATAAATAATGTAAGCAAATTTATTTTTTAAATATAAAAAAAAGTAGTAATATTTACTAGTAATATTTTTCTACAACAGATAGTTTATTAATTTATTTTGAAGAGGAAACCTTTCTAACACAAATTAGTCTTACTTATCATTATATTTAAACCCGTCAAACTAAATCAGTTTAATAAGAATATGGAAGAAATCGATTCAGATAACTTATCATGGTATATAAGTAAATGACAATCTTTACTAACAGAATATAAAATAAAGATATTAGTTTGTTGGACAATATCTATAGTACTTCAACAAACAATAAGGTATGTTATCGTATATAGTATATACAACAAAAACTAAAATTAATTGTTTATTTGTTTAAAATATCTTTATTTAATCCATTATGATTTTCCATAAAATATAAATTATTTAACCGGTACGATTTCTGCGCCTACGGGTTACAAGCTTCCCCCTTCGTACGGTTCGCCGAATTCCATATGGTTGAACCCGTCTTACTTGCTGCTTCCTTGTTGTTCGAATAGCACGGGCACCATCATCAGCAGTATCCTCATTATCATCATTATCATCATTATCATTAAAAGCACGACTTGCTGTAGCGGTACCAGTTGCAGTTGCAGTTGCAGTGGCAGTTGGTGTAGTTGCGGTAGTGGTTGTTGGGCTTGAAGTGGTGTAAGCTGGTGGCGATGTGATTGTAGAATAGGAATAGGTTGGCGTAACGCCAGTTGTCGTAGTTATTGGACAAGCGTTGATGTTACCCAAAAGGCAGAGCTTGGAATTTAATCCGCTGCTATTTCCAAAGAGAAATGCATTTGTAACGCACACTAAGCTCAGGAACGCACCTATAAGACATGCTCGTGACGTCATTTTCGTTTTTTAAAACCAAACTGACTCTTTAAGGCTAAACACGAAAATGATATTTTTTCGTCGCATTTTTTTACTTTTATACTAAATCAGATTCACTTAAGTTATTTGGTGGTATGTACGTTTGTATGTATGTGTCATGCATTTGTTTAAATATTTTACAATTGTGCTAACGAAGTTGAGATGTTTACAGATTACAACTGCATTTCAGAATAGAACAATAGTTTTTTTTGTTTGAACAAATGGAAAAGTTTAGATAGATCTGTTAAAAGTAATAAAAACAGTTATTTAATCTATAATTACTATTGTGGTTGTTTTGTCTTTGTTATTATAATAACAATATATTATTAAATGGATCCCGTAATATTGAGAACTGGGAAGGTATAAATGTAAAGGATACAAAAAAGGTTAAATTTAGAAGTAGGCTCAGTGATATATATTGGATTATTTAATTGATGACTTTTCTTTTAATGATCTGGTCGACAAACTCTGAAGTCATAACATGCTCAAATTTTTGTATCTTCAGTTGAAGTTGATTTTGTATTCTTAGCACATAGAAAAAATATCTCAAAGCGTTTTCAAACTTTAAACCTAAAACACAATTCCAACAAGCTGAAAAGCCGCAAAGTTGTGGTCGCAGCTAAACCGTCCAGATACACGTGGATTAGAGGCCAGAAACGTGTTCGAAAATATTTGTGAAAGCTAAAAGATTTCATCGCCAAAAACACGTTTGAAAACTTGAAAATGGAAACCTCTGAAAATCATTCGTCACGTACGCCCTTTTATTAAGCCATCTGCTGGTGTACCAACGCTGATTACTAATTTTCGACATTCGACCATTTAGGAACGAACGTGGGTGTTCCTTAGTAAGGCAAGACCCACAAACATTGAATGAGCTGTTAATGTCTGCTTTTGTTTACTCAAAGACTTTAATTATTGTTAAAGTTTAATTAAAGCTATTCCTAGAAGCGCATACTTACTAAAATAATAGATTAATAGATTTGATTATTTATAGGCTGCTGTAAATTCATATTTGTTAAAGTGTGAAATTTATACTATTTCTGATGTAGGGATGCTTTCTTTTACTGCCAAATACTTAGTTGTAAAAATTTATATTGAAGTCTAATAACTTAGATTTCTAATTATTTTCCATATTTAAATATATGGATTGTATACTTAATTATAATGCAATAATTAGAATTTCATTGAAAAAATATTTTATCCAGTTTTTAATATTAAAAATGTATACAAATGTTTTTTATTGAAATTTTTTGTTAGATACTTTCACGTTGATTTAGTGCTGTTAACTATCACTTTCATATTTTGTATATTTTCACTTTGTCTTTTTTTACGGCGTGTTTATATTTGAGTTAAATTGGGCACTGATTGTATATCTAAGTGAAGTGAAGGGGCTTACTTCGCAATTTATATAAATTGAATTTAGAAAGACAATTTATAAACAATTTAGAAGTGTAATATTTGCTATATGACTTGACAAATGGTAAGCCTTTAATGTACTTTTAATTAAATAGCAATTTTTTGGAGATGTGAATGTACAATAACTAAAATGTCTATATACTTCACACACTTGAAATACTGCTTAAAGAGAAAATGCTGATAATTATTCAGTGATATCGTTCTCCTTACTTCTAGAATCGAATTTTTAAATAAAAGTAATATCGATAAGGTTCCGAATACCAAGAAATTCAAACGCGGTTTCAATACAGTATAAAAATATTTAAAAACTAGTGACAGAAATAAAAATTTCATCATTATTATCCGGAACTATACAGTATATGTAGGACCTAAGCCTGTTTAACAATATCCTTCAATTCTTCTCAGTTTTTCGCTTTTATTTTCCAATTTCTTAGCTTCATTTCTTCTAAATTCTGCTGCACACTGTTTTTTCATCGTTTTCTTGGTCGCATTCTTCTTCTGCTGCTTACTACTTAAATCTTAAGCGGTACTCTCGTATCCGGCATTCTTATCACATGTCCGACCCATATTGATTGCTGCTGTTTCATAAATTTGTTGATTGTATCATCTTCAGCTAGCCCTTATAGCTCGTGGTTGTATCTCATGCGATACATCTCGTTTTTTTCAAAAAAGTTTTTGTGAGTATTTTCCTTCCAAACACTGTTATCTTGCTTGCTTCAGTTTCAGTTAATCTTCATGTCTCGCAGCCATATATTACTACTGGGCGAGTAAATGTTTTGTTTTCTGCGAAACATTATTACTTATAATTAGTCGTTTTAATCCATAATAGGCTAGAAAATAAAACTTAAAGCTAGAAAAAATTAGGTTAGGTTAGGTGGGTCTATTAGTTAATTTGGTTAACTTGATTGGTTGTAAACCTTCTGGAAACTTAAATTAAACTTAAATTGATTTAATAGTACGCTGTGAGCAAATCCACTATGAAAGTAAGTATTTAACAAGATTAATTAAATTTTCTGAAATGTTCCAATAACGGAAGATTTTTAAAATATTTGCATGAAGCTAGCTGTATACTTATATCCAAATGAGCTGAGTCATATTGCCTGACTAGCTAATTCTAAGTCATATTGCCTAAACACCAGAGTCTACACCAAATTTGTCTATGATATTGCGTGATTGAAAACTCAGAGAAAAAGCATTTAACAAATGTTGAAAGACGCTGCAATTTCGAGAAAGTTTATAATATGCACATACTTCCAGTTCCTCAGAGAATACTCTACCAGTCTGTTATCTTTCTGAAAGCCGTAAATATAGTCAACATTTATAATATTGACCATATAATAATATAGAAATACTATATGCATAATATCATTGATCTTCTGACATAAAAGAAGCGCATTATAAGAGAACAGAAGTATCTTATCGTCATTATTTTCTATAGTTGAGGACTCAATTGCAATTATATGTTGTTACTCTTATATGATGTAACTCTTGAACAAAGAGTTCATATTTGTTGCCTCATTCAGATTATGAATATAATATGGTTTCGGTGAATTTAAAATGCGGACAGGGTCAATGACGTTCTGTCAAATGAATGCATCAATGAATACAATCAGAAAAAATTATTGTCGCAAAGATGGTGTGAGCGAACGAAATTAAAACAGTGAACAGTGAACAACTGTTGTCATAGCTGGAATAAGGTTGGTACGTATATATCAATAATTCCCAAGTATTAGGGTGGAAGCAGCAGCCTTAAATTATTAATTTTTATTTATTTTGTAGTGTGAGAGGGACATGATATAAATTAGTGGCACTAATATGGCGACACTAATGGAAATAATTTGGGGGCACTGACAACGCAGCCAAATATATATTTGCAAATCTTACAGATACAAAAAGCGGTGGAAGGGTGTCAAATGTGACTGCGTGTTGTTTATGTTAGCGTCATAAGGTCATAAATATTATAAGCCAAGTTAAAGAAAGACACTCAATTTTTCTTACTGTGCACAACGGCACTGCGCTCATTAAGTTAATTGTTGGCAATTAACTAAATTGGCACAACGTTTGTTTTACAATAAACCAACATTAAGAGTTACAGAACATTGTATATGCAGTGCAAATTCTTATGATTCCTCCAAAAACTTTGCCCGAAATCATAAATCATAAAAGAAAACGCGCTTGTACCTACTTTCTTGGCAGCTATTTCCGGATTATACTGAATACTGAACATTTTGGTATGTAAACAAAGCGAGCATTCAACTCTTTACGTAGTACAGGTAATTATACAAAATTACAATTACATACTTGTGTGAATCCCCAGCACAGTCCTTACAACGTCTGCAACATTAGAATAATTACGCGAGGAACGATGCGACAAAATTAACGAGACAACGATGACTTGTACAAGGAGGAAGTGGCTCTATCTGCACACACGTTTTTGCTCATTTTATGCGATTTATTTTGTGAATTGCGGTACAACATGATTACATCTAAATGCAGACTGAAAATAGTTTTGTGCCTCCTTCAGCTGTGAAAGTAACTACATAATGCTTACTACAACTTAGCCACTTATGTTCATATTTAAAAAAAATTCTGAACTAGTTAAGATATTACGTGTCGGTATCGTTTTGTGGAACTTCACAAAAAAAAAACTATCTATAAAAGATAGACAAAAGGACGCATCCTTTACATTCTGTATACCTTAATCCTGTCTTGCTGAAAACTGATTATAAACACCGGAGTGCAATATAGCTTCTTGCAGCAGTGACTTTCATTGTATTTCTTCTAGTTCACTAATTATTAGTAAGGTTCCCTTAAATACAACCCTTTTTTAATTAATTTCTATTTTAATATAAAAAAGAGTTTCTATTCTATATAACTTTATGTACTCAAATAATATATTTTTGGCGTTGATGGCAATTAAATTGCTTACACACATAATAAATAATTAAGATTAAATATTATAGGGAATTAACGCTAGAAGAGTTGCGAATATTCTAACTTCCTTAGAAGGTACAAATTTCAGCAAAAAATGTTTGAAATGTGTATTTTTGCAGTTCAAATATAAAAAGCTGCGACTGATAAATAATTCATGGGTTAAAATCACTTAAATGCCGAGAGTAATGACAAATGATAGCAGTACTTCGAATGCAAAGTCCTCGAATTCTATTATTCAAACAAAACCCGCTGTTTGTTACGAGGTAAGCATGGAAGTTAAGGGAGGGAGCCATTTTCGCTTAGTGCAATATTTATATGTTATGTTGTCGGTAAGGTCGTTACGGGGCTTACATTTACACCATTATACTTGGAGCAGTTATTACTTTCCAGCAGTTGATCTAAAAATGCGAAGGAAGTGTTGGCATGAACGGCTCAACGTTAATATCTACCGTGCTTTGCGTGAAAGTTCTCAAAGCCATATTCTTTATGTAAAACGTTTAAATTATTAGTAAGAATATATGTGAGCTACGTTGCTTTATACTTAATATTAAAGTTTTACATTAAATGATGTGTCATCTGCTATCAAACCAAATGTGCCCAAAATATAAATACACACGACGTATCATTTTGAG